GTTGCGTGTAGGGAAAACTCCTTGCATGTTGATAACATGCAATCACATGTCAAATATTTGAGCTTCTCTTTAATGTTGACTTCTCAAATTTCAACACTGTTGGACTTTCAAAGTGGCAAATGACTATGCTGGGAATTTTAGTCGAGAGCATCTTAAATACATTTTCATTGATATTTATGTTATAATTTTAAACTATTGGTTTGCCTTACCAGGTATCCAAAAACAAGTGCTTGGGATATTATGCTGGGAATGAATTTATGGGGAACCATATACAATATGATTTACATGTTTGGATGGCCCCATGCAAGTGGATTTGAGGCAGTTCGCTTTTGCCAACAGCATCCAGAGGCAGCATGGGATATTTTCCTCTATTGCTGCTGTGGTGCCGTGGGCCAAAATTTCATCTTCTTGACTATAAGCCAGTTTGGCTCTTTGGCCAACACTACCATCACTACCACTCGCAAATTTGTAAGCATTGTGATATCTTCTCTATTGAGCGGGAATCCCCTCTCAACAAAACAATGGGGGTGTGTTTTTATGGTGTTCTCAGGATTGTCTTATCAAATTTACCTCAAGTGGCAGAAGTTGCAAAGATTGCAGAAGAAAAGAAAAGCCATGTGAAGCCTTCGGCAATTTTGATGTCAAACACTAATATAGTAGTAGCTAATTTGCTGTTCAACCCTCTTATATTACTAAGATCTTATGGTTCAATGAACCATATTTAGGTTTATGCTAAAGAATATTTGTAATTTTAATTGAATAGATACTTTTTGAGAAGTAAAAATTTCAAAGACTAAACCGCATTTTCTCTTTCATGGTGCCTATATTCAGTTGCCTGAATTGTATTGAAGATTTAGATTTAGTTTTTTAACATAATACTAAGGCAAAGGTATACTCTTTGTAAACGTGATTTTCAGAGTATCTCATCTTCTCTCGACTGTTTAGAAGATTATCTCAATATTGTATGAGGGCAAAAAGTAGCCAAAGTAGTGGGGGTGAGTGAACAATAAAAGTGCTTTACTAAATTGCTTGCTTGCACTAGTTATTTTGCTTTCAAAAATTCAGTTCAAATTTATGTTTAACTTATTTTTCTTTCAATAAAGCTTAAAATAAGATGCACTTCTGGCTGACAAATTTTTGAGTGTGAAATATGCACGGGAGAATTCAGCTAAAAAAGTTATATTTTTACTATTCCGTAAGAACTACTTTAAAATATTTTTGCTGAACATGCAGATATTGTTAGTATTTGTGATTTTAATTGTTTGAACTTCAATGTCTCAAGCTCAAATTCCGTTTAAGAAATTTTAATATAGTATCAAGAACAGGCAAAGAAAAAGAAAAAGTAAAAGAAACTTGGAGGTTCTATCTGAGTCGTTGAATCTTCAGGGGCAAACTCACTTTAGAACAGGTGGGGTACATGTCCATTATTTAGAATAGTGCTTCATGTACTAATTTTAAAATCAAAATATATCAACGGCACTATTTTAGCCATAATAACTATTTCACTGTGTATTCCACAAAATAAATGTATACATATATAGCGTTATTTATTATAAAATCAATTGCACATTTGCACTTTTTATAAAAAAGAATCAGTTGAGGCTTTGACCGGCTTATATGTTTAGGTAAGATCAACTTGTTAAGTTGAAATTGGGAGGTCAAATGAGTCAAAGAGTACCTTCCCTCAAGAAAGTTAACAGCTAACAAAAGTACTTTATTTTGTAACGAGTTCCCTCCCTCTTTTTACCAATCTCTTCAGCCATTGTCATTATTATTATTATTATTATCTTTCTCCTGTCTTCCACCACCACTCACGAACTAATCATCCTAAATAAGAATTAGTTCCCCCCAGAATTGTTCTTCTGCAAAGCAGTCCATGGCAAAAACAACCATGTTAGCTGAAAGGAAAGTGCGAGAGAATTGTTTGCATGCCTCTGTCAGTCCAGGATCCGGTCCCAGGTGTTCTGTAATGTCTGTAAGTACACAACTTTTTCTTCTGCATTATTCATTTTTATTGAGTTTTTCCCTTTGTAAAAGAACTGGAGCTCATGTTGTTGAAAGCTGCATGCTTTGCAGTAGTGAATCAGGGTCAAACTTGCAATGAATTGGTTGCCATTTGCTACCAACAGTCCTAAGTGATGTTACTCGGCATTGCTTTCCTTATCATTTCTCTTATTGAAAATGGGGTTGGAGAAGTCAGTGTGAAACTTTACTTTCATAATGTTCTTTAAGACTGAGTGTGTTCATGCCTGTTTCTGCTCAGAATTCCTTTGTTTGAAGATTTGTCTACACATGGTTGTGTTAAATACAGGTTAGACATAATAGAAACAGTATCTGCACACCCAAGCCAAAATGCATTTCCACTCCAATTATAATTGTTTCAGTACATCAGAACCAAAAAGGAATAAAAAAAATGTTTATTCTATATGCACACCCAAAACAACAAAGATTAATCCAATTTGCCACTGGTTAATCTTTCTACTCTTTTTTTCTTCTTCTTTGTCTCTTCTATCTATGTCTCTGTTCATTATATGTAGTAGGATGGCGAATTGCCGCTGTATACATACACTCAGGATTACTAGTATCACACAGCAAACTCTGTACAAAAAGGCAAACCAAGATCAAAAGCTGGATTGGAGAAAAACAAACCCAGAATGATATCAAAACAAACCAAAGAATGACACACTAAGCAGTAAGCACGCTATTTTTTTGGTGCAAGTATCAAGGTAACCCTTTGAGGAGGAGGGGGAGAAAAGGACACTGTTAGATGTGTTGATGATCCTCAGAATGTACCATAACATTCTGGAGGAGGGTATGGCTTTCAAAATTTTAGGCTGAACAAAATTGCAATCTTTCTCAAACTAGGCAGAGAAGAACTAACAGGCCAGATTGCCATGAGAAAGGAGAAAGGACTTGTAAATATTTTGTATTTCAGATGAATTAGAGATTCAGATTAGGAGGGCTCTTTTGCAGAGTGGCGGTTGTGAGGGGTTGGCACTTGGATTGAGCGACGGAGACTCCATTCCAAGTGTTTTCATAAGGAAGTTCCTTTCCTGAAAAATAAATCAAAAGAGAATGTTAAAGAAAGAAGAAAATATGGTTATCCTTGTGTCAAACTTTGAAACAAACCAAGGTTTTTTTTTTTTTTTTTTTTTAATTTTAAAATAAATATTTTTCACAAATAATTTTATCCATCATGAAGTCCACAACTCCACATAGTTCAGCAACAACATAACTAATGTATGGTTGATGCAGCAAGAATGGTTAATGTCTGGTTTTGTGTTCTACAGATATATCAGATGATAAAAGGAGATGGAAATAACAACTATCAGATTACACTCTAAATCCTGTCATAAATTTATTTCTTTGTTGGGTAAGAGGTTTCTTGCTTCAATAGTTATCGGCACAAGATAGTCTACAATTATATGCTTCACTATATATGGCAGCGTATCTGTGTTTGTCCATATTATATCGGTATAATTTCTTAGCAAGGAAAACAAATAAATATATATAGTGTATTTAAAGGATGACGAGATGACAACCTTTTTTGTGGGTTAAAGTGATGAACATATATGACATTTTGACTCTGATATATTTTCCGTGGAAACAAATAAAATTTCTACCTTTTTGTTGTAGGTTATTGAGTTTGGACTAGAAGCAGGACTAAAGACCTAGCCGTATAAATATAAGTTGCATTATATATTATGTCAAAGTATGTGCCAGTGAAAGAAGAAAATGTGACACTAGCATCTCAAAGTAAAAGATATTGTTTTGAAGCATGTGTTATGAAATATACTGGACCTTCCTCAAATGAGATTTTTAAGCCACAAAGTCTAAAAGAGAAACTTTAAAAAACCAACATAATGTGTGGCATGAGTGTCACGGGTAACCTGCAAATTAGCCTTTTTCAAAACCTCCTAGATACTTAAATTATTAGGAATACAAAAGATACTAAAACTAATCATGGCCAGAAAAGAAGCCTAATTTATCTTTGCAACACCAAAGCTTTACCCATCAGTTTCAGTTACATGATATCTTGTATATGCTTATCAGTTATCATTGCTAAACAAATTCCTATCTTAAAACCTATCTCCAATAATGTAACTACCTTTCCCCTTCACACCACTTCCTGTTTGGCCTGGTCCACCTGAATTTTATGATTCAAATAACTCAGAATAAACTTATTTACCCATTTTTTATCTGCATCAATTTGATTCCAGTAATCCAATTCCAATACCCTAATGATGCAAACTACCAACAGTTTTTGAGATAAAATCTTAAGCTCAGTAACAGTACATAATTTGAGCATTAAGGATTTATGTTTTATCCTCATATTACTATCTCGACCATTAATTATGCTGAAAGATCCCCTCCCTACCACTACTACTGAAGTAGAAATAAATGGTATTCCAAAAGTCATATGGATGATAGAGGTTGTTCTTATTAGAAGTCAAGAACTATTACAACTATTGAGGGTACAACTTGTATGTTACACGGGTTCAGTATCTCCCTTATTCGTCATCATTACAAAGTATAAATGTAAATCAGATTGTTTGTCCCTATTACTCCTATAATATTGTGGTTGACCTTAATTATTTGAAGTTAAAGTGCTTGGCTAACTTACACTTTCTGAAAATTGTGGGCTAGGAATTCCAGCAGCTAAGGATCTAAACAGAGGGGTAACTTGAAGAGGTGAACTGAACTCCTCCGAACCTGACAAGGCAGAAACAATGCCATCATTGTTTATCTGTTCCTCACAAGATGGGAATAAATCTGTTATAGAAAGATATATATCTAATTAGTGATTCTGATTCATTAAGATGTTAGCATATAAAACAATTCAAATTTTGAGGAAATTATAAATAAGGGGCTACACATTAATCAGCAGAGCTAGGTGTTCCTAAACTGGAAATATTTCTACCAAAAATTATCTTCCCTCTTATTTTTTGTTATCATGGGACTTGATTATCTTACCTTGATCCAGAGTTGCACTAGAAAGAACCCCTTGGTCACATCCCCCAACTCCTTTTTGATCTCCAATTTGTATATTCAGTTCAGTTCCAATATCTTGATGCAGTGAGTGTTCCAAATTGTCACCAGTTGAATGAGGCAGAAGAGTTGATCCTGTACTGTATTCAGAACTGCCTGGAGAGTCTTCATATAGTTCCATTTTCCTATATTAGATGAAGAAACTGTTAGATATTCCACAGCTCACATGAAGTCATATTCTCAAAGAACATAAAGTACCTCCAGCATGGCTGGATTTCCTCACTACTGCTCTTTAAGTCCTCCAACAAATCTTTAAGATCTACAAGCTGTAAATCTGGAATCTTATATCTTTGAACGTCCGATTCTTTGGTTCGGTTCAGAAACTCTTGAAGAACCTGACATAAATACACACAAGCATTAGTTAGAACATATTTTTCGAACAATGGTCTTTCTCTTATTTATATGCTCAAGAAACCTTGTTGATATCAGCTGGTGACCGGCTTATCATAATGAAGTTGAGCGTTTTATATTTGGTTATATGCTAGCAAACTAATCTATGAAATTGTATCAAGGATCTTTAAAGCCATTAGTAACATTTATGATTTATATTTAGATAATCACAATAGAGCTTCTAATTTTTAATTTTGTGAATAAGTGGTCAAGAGTACAATACATGCCACCTCATCATTCACAAAATTAAATTAAATTTAGTACAAAGTGAAGTGGGCTTGTGCATTGTCCACACTTAAAGTGACTCTTATGTAAAGGGACATGTCAGAGAATAGAGATAAACAAATCATGACTCATTCCTGGTACTCAACCTAAAAGCTTTGAAATTTATAAATGTTTTAAACTCACAGGCAGAAATGTTGCATTAGTCTAGCAATTATACTATCATATAATGCCTAATTCTTTGTGATTAGCAACAACCAGGTGCTGAAGAACTAGGCTCTGAAAAATCAGCTAGTATACAAATGCATACAAGCATTAGCAGAATCAAGGTAATCTCTCCAATAATAAATGTATACTATCCAGCTGACAAATGACTTTTGTGTAGATAGCCTTGACATGTTAAAAAATGATTTAATTCTGTTGATGTTGAACTTCATGACATTTAATCTATAAATTGGTCTTTGCTTGATGACATCAACTGGAGCTCATTTATAAAGAAGCCTGTAAGTTGTTCAAAAATCAAAACGAAAGCAAGTTCTGAAACTATCAAGCCTCACCTTCCATGCATTTTCAAGACTTTGGTCCACGTTCTCTGCATCAACTTTTAGAGCTAGTGAACTTAGTAACTCTGCTTGTTGCATCAATGCATTTATCTTTGGGTCATCCTTTTTAAGGAATGTTCCTTGAATCTTGTTGTTTTGGACTGCAAAACCATGATAAACCAAGAGTTGCATTAGAATGATAGGTGACCAATGTTATTTCAGGCTGAATATATTAGAGGTGTTTTGGCTTATTTTCTATTTTCATTTTCAGGTGAAATGTTTTCACTTATAATTTAAAGCTGTCACCTCATTTTCATTTAGTTTCCTCTTTTCCTTATGTTGATTTCAGTTTCACCATTTCCTTCACAAAATCTTGAAAACAGGAAACAAAAAAACAAAAAAATGTGATATTTTTATAATTACTCGTGAAAAAGATATTAACTGAAAATTTAAATTAACATAGTAAACAAATCAAACGATGTGTTTGTTTCATGAAAATGTTTTATGTTCTCATTGTCAATTTTCATTAATGATTACAAAAATGTCACAGGGTTTTCACTTGTTTTCTGTTTTCAAATATTTGAATAGGATATGGGCAACATAGGAAACAAGTTGAAAATAATGTGACATCATTGTAATTGTAATTAATAATAAAAACAGAAAACACTTCCGCAAACCAAACACTCTTAATATAGTCCTGCTCTCTTATTTTGAGTTTCACAAACTGCAAGTATTAAGTTCCATAACAAAAGAATTTCAATTTAAAGACATTACCATAATCACTAAACTTCAAATTGCAGGCATGATGCTGGTCTGGCAAGTTGACATTGTGAGAGTTTTGAGCTAAAACTGAAAATGGTGCTCTTGGTTGCTGATTTATTGGAATCCCATTTTGTTTATGTGATCTGTCTCCAAAGTTGATCTTTTCTGCAGCATCAGGGATATGGGATCTCCTATATTGCAATAGGATGACATGTTAACATTCTTCTTAATAGAATTTGTATATTTTGATCCCTTAATTCACCATACCTCATTTTCTTAATAGCTACTGCAGATTCTGATGCTATATCTGTATCACACCCGTGCTGGAGAAAAATCCTTTTGTTATTTGAATTGATGTATGAAGTGTTGTTTTCTTTTGCTAAGGCTTCATATTTTGCTCTCTTTTTGCACAATGTGGAGAAACGATTTTTCACAGCGTTATCCGTTCTGGGCACAAGCAATAAGGAATTGCAATAAGAATGACTGCTGTAAAAGAATTCTATGTTGTATTTTTTGAAGAAAATAATGAAATTCTGATTACCTGCCTGAAACCACCTTTGCTATTTCTGTCCACCGGTTGCCAAATAATTTTTGTGCCTACAGAGTAAGTAGGACGAAATTAGCTCACAGAACATGTGGTCATAAATAATACAATTTTAAGTGCAACACAATTGGTTTCTTCAGCAGAACTTTTGAAGCAAAATAAATGAATTTTCGAATTGCTGCCATAGTAATAGCACTTGCAATCCTTAAGTAAATCAATGGATTAAGGTCTACAGGTCTACCATACAGAACAAATACCCAGAAAAAGTATAAAAAAAAGAAGAAGATGGAGTCCAAATTTTCCAAGTTCTTTTATATCATTATTATAAAACAAACTTGTTAAACTTGAATGCAACTGCTGTGGTATGAAAGTGTAGCTATGAAACACTGGGAGCATCAATTTACCTCACATAAAAGCATGTCCTCCTCTGGAGACCATCCTCCTTTCTTGAAATCGGAATTTAAATAAGTGTACCATCTGGTAAAGCAACAGTTACTTAAGCATCAGATTAAGGATAAGAGTAAAGCATGATCCATGAAAGACTTGATGAGCTAAAGGATTAAAGCAGAGGACCAAAGAAAATATCTTGAATGAATCATCATCAAAATCAAAATTGGAAACAAACATTAATTTTAAAAAACCTCACCTTCTTCTGCACTGTCTTGTTGTTTTGTCCGTGAATTTAGAAGCAATAATTGCCCAACTGCATGAAGTCATGGTAATTATAATCCCTTAGACATGAAAAATAAATAATAAAAAAGTACTAGTAACTAATGAGTAACTCAAAGGAAGAAGAATAAGCAAAGGGCAATGAATATGAGTATAAGTACTTTTCAGTTCCATGGATGCCAATCTGCTCTCTTAGTATATCATCCTCCTGCAACTCACATAAGACTCATCAGACACCATTCCAAGGAAGGAGAAATTCAAGTAAAAAGAATACATAAACCAAAATAATAATTTTATAGTGAGAGAAGAAGGACCTCTTGAGTCCACGTCACAATGTGACGCTCCTTCTTCTTAGATTCTTCATTGACCAGCTGATTCTGCTTCTGCTTCTGCTCCTTCTTCATATCTTGCATGATCTTCTTGTCTTCGAGTGAGTGCTTATTCTATTGGTGTCTTGGACGCTCCTTCTTTTTTACCGAACCCAAGTTGCATGCTAAAGCCAACGCTCCCCCTTTATAATATCAAAGCTTTTATTGAAAAAGGAAAAAATAAAATAAATCAAAAAGGGAAAAGAAAGAAACCCTTTTAGACGCTCACCTCTCTCACACACACCCTGTTGTGTTTCAAAACGGCAACCGTAATAAGCATAAATTCCCTTCTCAAAAGCCAAAAGCTATTCAAGAGAAAGAGAACTGAAGCAATGGCCTCGGATCCTAACTTTTCAGACCCTTTGATCTTATTTAGGGCAATGAAGAATACATATCAGTGTCTGTAAAGGGTACGTGGGGTGGGATAAAAATCGTATTTTTCGAAACCCCAGAGAGAGAGAGAGAGAGAGAATGTGTATTTTGATGCTGTATCTTAGTAGCAACTACTGATAGCATAGCCCAGAAAGTGTGTTTAGTAGATCTAACAAAATTGAGCAACTTTGGGAATACCCTAACGAGAAAAAGTGGTGTGTTCATTCATTGTTGAAATCAAATACTAGAGTGAGAATATTATTGTGTCTTAGATTCTGATGTCTGAGTTCGAGCTGAGAAGAGAAAAGAAGGACGGTGGGTGGAGGTTGAATGTAATAAACTTTTAGTTAGAGCAGTGTACTAGGTAGCAAGTGATGTGTCTCGTTTGTTATTTTCTTACGTTGGGTTAAGCTTTTCTCTCTCTAACTTTTTTAAAACGGTCACACACTTAAAAAAAACAAGTGATAATGTACAAAAATATTAATGATAAATAAAAATAAGTAGTATGTGTTTAGGTTAGTGCGCGGGTACGAAGGAGAGTTTGAAAATAACTCTGAATTTGATGAGCTACGTGCAGTACATCATGGCGGCGTAGACTAATGTCCACTATGCAGCTCTAAAGAAAGTTCAAAAGATACGATCATGATCATCATACTGCTACAGTTTAAGACAACCCTTCTCATCCACCATCATATACTGCAATCACTAATAGTAATTTGATGATAATATAAATGTAGATGAGCCTAATAATATTTGAATTTTGAGATCTTTAACAAGACATGAGAAGGTACGTGACCCAACTTTTTGCATTGAGAGTAAATGGTTCGTGAGTAATTGGTGTGGTTCATTTATCTTTGCATCTTTGGTCATGCCTAATGTACCATTCAATTTGTTTCCCCCTTTTCATGGTTTAGGAAATTTTGGATGGACTCAATTTGGTGTAAATGTGTAAGGATTTTGTGTTTTTGAATTTTCTCACAAAGGATTCAAAAATTTGTTCCCTTCAGCTTCTTTTATTCTTCAGACGCTCACATCTACCTTTCTCGCCTTAGTGCGTGAAAATTTAAATGCTGTTTCTTAATATGAAAAATACATGTATAGATACACATACTTGTAAAGTTGTATTCAGAAATATATTAGTGTTTCATTTTTTTTTATATTTTAAATGTGACTTGAATGATTAACAATTATCTTGTCGATGGAGAATTTGAAAATCTAATGAAAATGTCGGACTAATAAAATTAGCTGAATTTAGTTGCCCTGCATTGTCTCAATTTGTTTAATAATTGCTCCATCTTGCAAGTTAGAACTTAGGTATATATAGTTTCGAATTCGAATGTGTTGATTATTGTATATTTTTTTCCTTCTTTTCGTTGTGTGCTTCTCAATGTTTCACATGCTATCATTGCATTTCTATTTTATTCCTCTAGTTTATTTATTGCTTACAAATTAAAAAGCACAATGTTAATATTATAATTATGTAAATGATTCTAGCTATTCATGAATTATATTAGCTCAATCCACTTAATTAAATAAATATTAAATTATATTATTGGCCGTCACCTATAATATTAAATTTATAATTTTAGTTTTTTATTTTTTATTTTTTAATTTTATAAAATTTATAATTTTGGTCTTCTCATTAAGTGTTAATTTCGTTAAAATTATACTATTGATCTTGATCATGATTTAACATTAAATAGATAATATAATAATTAATATTTAATATTATTATATTAATTTATACTTTTAATTCTAGTTTTTATCATTTTTGTATAATTTTATTATTTTTATGAGATAAAAAATGAGAATTGAAAATAAACATTAATCTAAATATTAATTCTCATATAATTTATTTTATATCAAGTAATGACTAATATAATTTTATAATTAATAGATAAACATTTAAAGAGAGATTAAAATTACAGAATTTATAAATTTGGAAAAATAAAACTGCAAAATTAAAAATAAAAGACATAACATTACGGATTTAATATATAAGAAGATCAAAAGTATAATTTAATCTTAAATAAATAAATTCAAATTTGAGATTAACTCAATTAAATAAGTCAAACTTAAATTTTACAAATTTGATATTTCCTACTTGTACCTATATACCCCCGATAAGAAGAACTTAAATCTCCTTATCAAACCCAAAAAAGAATTGAGGTTAATTACATTTTGTACATTTAGATATATATTATCAAAAAATTAAAATTACACAAATATCACTATTTGTATGGGAATGCTTTTGTATAGTATTTTTATTGATAATTTTTTTAATAAAAAAATGTTTATTAACTATTTACAGATTTTTTTTAAGAATTAAAATTTTAAGAAGGATGATGTTAAAAGAATGTAAGTATTTTTTTTTTTATTATTTTGCAAGTAAATACGAGAAAGTATAATAAAAATTAATATCAATAATGTAAGTAAATTATAAACTAGACAAATATGGCAAATTCAATCTTTATCTTTTTTAAAATAAATTTCAATCTTTCAGTTAGACTTGTAAGCTTAATTTTTTTTTTCAACTATAGATAACCTTTATTTATTCAACTTGTTTATAAGTTTAATTATAATTAGTACTTTAAGCATGTGCGATGTAAATAATAAATATTTGTTTTATATAGTTATAATCTATAATAGATGAATATTTTAAATATATAAATATGATTGTTAAACAAATCATTTACATTTACGTACACGTGTCACCAAAATATATATCATCAAAAAATTAAAATTACACAAATATAACTAATTGTATGGAAATACTTTTGTATAGTATTTTTATTGATAATTTTTTTAATAAAAAATGTTTATAACTATTTACATATTTCTTTAAAAGAATTAAAATTTAAATAATGATGATGTTGAAAGAATGTAAGTTTTTTTTTTCAAGTAAATATGAGAAAATATAATAAAAATTAGTCTATACAATTAACAAAGAAGATTCTCTTATTTGACAGACACCTTTAGACTATTTTGTCCCTATAATTACATCTAAAACTATTCTTTCTTTTTTCACATTTTTTTCAAAAAAAGCCATCCTTACAAATTACACTCAATCAAAAATATATTATTTATGATTTATTTTTATTTTTTAAAATTACATGGAGGCACAAATGTCTTTTTTACATTAATATCAATAATGTAAGTAAAGTTAAATTATAAACTAGATACAATGCTCTTCGGTGCATCTCCTCCTAGTATGAAGTGTTGTGATGACTTGACGCAATATATTTTCTTAAGCTATTACATGTGTGTTTTCAGCCAAAACTCTGAAATGTTTTACTTAACGTCACATGCATATAATTTAGTGAAGTTTGTATACATTACATTAGTGTGAAT